AGAGAGAGACAGAGACAGACAGAGACAGACAGAGACAGACAGAGACAGAGACAGAGAATGTGTGTATGTTTACGTTTTCGTTTAAATGTATTTCCGAGAGTATTTGTATCTTAAACATGTTTTTGTAAATGTTGATAAACTACTAGCTGGGTTTTCCGTTCGATGAACGGGCTCAAACGAATCGGTCGTGAAGTCATTGTCGGATCAGTACGTACTCCTTGTGAACGGAAGCCTCACTTGTTTACAATGGCGTCTTGGAAGACGGACTTTCCCAAGATTAGATCTAAACGAAGCTAATGAAAAACTGAAAATTAAACTACAGTGACTTTAGACTTCTTAATATAACTGTGCACCCTTTAAATGATTCTAAACCACAGTTATTTTATAGGCATCAAACGAAAGGATCACAGTCGAATTTAGCACCAATTAAAAAAAGAAAACATGAGGCTAGATCTATACTTAAAATAGGGTTCAGTATTGCACGACAATGCGCAATAGTATCGAATGGAAGTACGACTTGAAATAAACAAACCTGGTGGATGTTTTCAAATTACAGAGACAGAAGCGTCGGCCTACAAAAGCGATCGGCGAAATAAAGAAATGTAGCTTTTTGCAGCCAAACTGTCTCAAAACTGGAAAAAAAACGAAGCGCGTCATGATCTGGAGAACATTTTAAAGAATATTTTGGCGAAAACCGCATGTCGATCGATGCAGCCATTAAAAAGCCTTTTTGAATAGCAGAATAACCACCCCAAATAGATAATAGATGTGTGGCAACATTGTGGAATCAGGCGCTCGTCAATTTTTGGTCATATTACTGGGTGCTCTTGATAACATTTTTTAAATCCGTAACATTCAAACAGAAATGTGCTTTAAATGGACATAAAAGGTTTTGAGCCTGAGAAAGTTCGATTTTTAAAATTAGACAAAAATTGCCCAACGAAAAGTAAATTTTTGTTACTTCGACTTCGTTAATTTCAAGAGAGCCTGGTGTCACCCGGATGCCACACATATACTTTTACTGTACAGCGCAAACATATCAATACATAACGTAATACTCCAAATATTTGGAGAGGAGGCAATGTTGATGTTTTTGGATGTAGATTTACTTAAAGTATTTCTTATTGCGTAGGGCCACAACAATATTAACGCCCGACACGCCAGACCAGACCGTCTTCGGGCACAAAAGAATGCGCACCGGCTCTTTAGTAATGGAAGGTAACAAAAAAGGGTTTCAGCTACTACACCGACTCCCGACGTCCTGTGTCGTCCCCGGTCAGACTGTCTCCGATAAAACATGTTCTATCGAAGACGGTCCGTTGTGGGAGATGGGGGGTAATTTTAATGATGTTATCTCTGCATTGTAGTGTGCCCTTTCCCGCCTCAATGAAACCACACAAATTTCTAGCAGTTCTTGGTCAGCTCTGCATATTATGTTTCATTCAATAGTATTGTTGGGATTTTTCACTATCTTCAAACGGCTGTGGATGATGAAATTCACCAAGTGTATCACGCTTTCTTTGGATGGGAAGCACTGAAAATCTTCTTGACTTGGTTTTCCTTTTTTTGTCTGCACCTCAAAAGCAAAAATAACCCAAAAAATGTCTTCTTCAACCACACAACATATTTACAAGACGACGGTGTCTGACCGCCAAACTCCGATGTTAATATGGTCGGCCGCACCCGACGGAAAATGGCGGGTCTGGTCTGACTGTCGGTGTTGGGCGTTAATATGGTTCTACCCTAGGTCTTCCAAAAGCAGTATAAGCCCAAACGACATGGCACAACAATTTATTCTGGTCTTTGTCAAGTCTAATACCTAGTGCCCATTGGCACATTCGGTTCGGTTGCGTTCGGTTTGATCGTCGGGGTTTGCCAGATTAAGGGCGAAAAGCGATCATTGTGGCATAAACTGATCGAAACGGACGGCGACCTTAAAAAATATACGCGTTTGCATTCAAGGACACGAGTTGAGCGATCGGTTTGTGTACACCCATTCACAAGAAACCTTTGTAATCTACGAGTCACGTGATCATCGTGACACTGCGATGTCAAGGCCAGATTTTTACACGCGAAATGCCATAACAAATTTCATTTTATAACATTACAAAACGGATACTGTCAATCTCGAAAAGATCACTGAGATCTATAGATCCTTCCTATGTTTATGGGATTCTAGACTGCAACAAAAATTCAAACTTTCATATTCGGAAAAGAGCCCAAAAGCCATCTCTCAAGAGTGTGGCTTTCCTAGATCCTGTGAACGGTAAATTTTAATGTTATTCTGATAACCCTCTTTACAAAATAGCCCCTGTCGCACTTGTATCTGAGTCATTGGATGCCATCGCGGCAGGGGTTTATGTTGTAGTGTGCACGGAAACCACCAGAAAAGAACCTAACCGAACCAACCCCTCCCCTCCCCCCCCCCACAATGGGCGCTGGGTCTAATTCAGGATACCTTTTCTCACAGCATGCGACACTAAAGAGCTCGACATGGCTTTCGTCCTTGATGGCTCGGGCAGCATTTCTGCTTCAGAATTTGAAGAGTCAAAAAAGTTTACATCGCTCGTTCTCAGAAATTTCTTAGTGGGACCTGATTACACCCGCGTGGCTGTAACCACCTACAGTGACCACGTGTTTGTAAGTATAGCTTACATTAAATTCTCATTAGTCAATATATTTAATAAAAGATACATTTTTAAAAATAATTTAGTATATAATCCTTCCATACCCCATGACAGAATATCTCTTCAAAAACCTTCTCAAAGTGACTTCTTCTATTTTAATAATAAAATCCAATTCCTCAAACGCACCACAACCGAATACTCCCCCCTCCCCTC